CGGGCGAATTCCCGGTGGCCTGGCGGCTGATTTGGCCCACTGCCCTTTTTTAATTTTTTTAGTTATTATTATTAATAATATTTTATATTTTTGCCTTCTCAATGTGATACTAAAGCCGGATACTAAAGTGATAATTTCCGATTTTGTCATTCGATAATAAATCATAAATCGGTCTTGACTGGCAGCTTCACGTCTGTTCCGCCGCTTCCGTCAAACGGTTCCAAACAGAACCGATGCGTGGGACACGATGAAGGAGAGGAAGCGGCCAGAAGAAGCAATGTAGCAAAATTACTCTTCAGGGCTTCAAGTGCAGGTCAGTTTAATCTGTAGGCCTAAATACGCTACTGTAGTTTTGTCTTTATTAACCTAGTTGAGTATTAAACTGCTAGCACCTGTTAGGCTATCAGGGGCACCCTATTATTATCGTCATTCAGAATACTGAATCATTATCGATTGGAAAGTTACATTAATAAATTTAGCAGACAGATGTTCACATGGATTTATTGTATAGGAAGGGAGGAAGCTTGAGCAGACAGCAACACAAAAATGGGGAAGTCGTGGCCTAATGGTTAGAGAGTTGGACTCGTAACTCAAAGGTTGCGAGTTCGAGTCTCAGGTCCGGCAGGAATTGGAGGTGGGGTGAATGTATGTGAGTATACATGAATGATGTCTCTCCCACCTTCAATACCACGACTGAGGTGCCCTTGAGCAAGGCACCGAACCCCCAACTGCTCCCCAGGTGCCGCAGCATAAATGGCTGGCCACTGCTCTGGGTGTGTGTGTGTGCGTTCACTGCTGTGTGTGTGCACTTAGGATGGGTTAAATGCAGAGCACTAATTCCTAGTATGGGTAACCATACTTAGCCACATTTCACTTCACTTCAAAAATATCACAGCCTAATAATGCTATAGTGTGTTTAGTATTAGGATTTTTCAAAAAAGATATTGTACTGATTTTGACATTTAGGCACTTTAGAAAATGTGTTTTGATATATTTGTATGAAACATAGGTTTGTTAAATCTCGGGTATTTAAGTCATTTTAAGATAAATAACATTCTGTGATAACAAATTGCAATGAGGTGGTCATTTTGCAACAAGAAGGACACAGTTCTAATCCTAACAGTAGACCTGCTGGTGAAGAAGTGATAGGTACTAGAAAAAAATGGAGATACAGAGATATTGGAGAAAATGAAGAAAAGGAAAAGGGAAGTGAAGGTGCAGTTCAAGAGAGACAACCTTTAATTATTTTCCAGGGCCCCAGACCAAGGATTTAGACCTTTTTTTATGTGATAGCCATTTAAATAAAAGGTTTATCTGTGGTTTCAGAATTTGTAGTGGGTGTATAGGCTATATACAGAAAAAAAAGGGGGCCAAAATTTTACCTTTTGGGCAACAGCTTGTCACTGGAGCAGTACCCTTAAAAAAGACATCTTTTTGCCTTTTTTACCCCTAATAGGTACATATTAGTAACTTATGTGTACGAATTACTATAAGGTATACTAATATGTATTAGGGGTAAAAAAAGGTACAAAGATGTTCTTTTAAGAGTACTGCTCCAGTGACAAGCTGTTGTACCCCAAAAGGTACCATTTTGGCCTCTTTTTTCTGTGTGGCCTGGATGAGTGTGAGATTTCCCGGCCTGAAATTACATCCCAGTCCGGCCCTGATTGAGACGTCTAACTTTAAACAGTCACTTCTGGCCAAAATACAAGTCTATAACAATGCTTTCTTCAGTGAAAAAAAGTCCAGCCTCTGTTGTCCTCTCACATCAAAATCTCCCCACATATTTGTTAAGAAATGTTTTGGACTGTTTTTGCATATTTCTATCCTGATTCAGATGACATTTTCACTGAAGAATGTGACATGACACAGTAGATTTGTTTATTACAAACACACAGCTTTTTGCTTCACAAGACGTTATTTGCTGGACTGGAGTGGTGTGGATTACTTTTGGATTATTGTGTTGTTTTTCTCAGCTGTTTAGACTCTCATTCTGACGGCACCCATTCACTGCAGTGGATTCATTGGTGAGCAAGTGATGTGATGCTAAATTTCTACAAATCTGTTTCAATGAAGAAACAAACTCATCTACATCTTGGACGGTGAGTAAAGTTTTAGCAAATTTTTATTACTGAGTGAACTATTTCTTTATTGTAATAACTGTAAGAAAAAAAAAAGTAGAAAAAACAGATAATGGCAAAAAATGTAGTTTACTGGCATTTCCTTAAACCCTAAAACACAACACAGGTAATTCAAAATACGGGTAAAACAGCTGTGAAAATTCAATACAGAAAATTCAGCTATTTTATGATCCAATCAAATCCTGATGTATATAATCAAGTCCCGTCCTTCATTTTTCCTGTTATATATTTAGTCTCACTCAGAAATACATCACATTGCAACCAAATGAGTTTAAATTATTTATTAAAGTTTAATTTAAAAAGCTTGTATGAGAATTTCATACTAAAATGTTTTTAATAAAAACTGCTTAAAATATTATATAAAATTGTATATTTTTTTCCTTGTCAAGTCATATTCATCAGTGAACTGAACATTTACACTTTACAAACACTGAAGTGTTTTTAAAAATTTGAAAAATTATAGTTATTACAATTATAATAACAATTAATCAGTAATTTCTTTCTTTTTGAGTCATTATTATTTGTAATTTATCTCATTTAAATTCTCGATTATTTAAATTATTTTTCCATTTTTATTATATAAGAAGTAAATAAATAAATAAATCATTTTATGATAATATTCCCAAGGCTTTTAACAGATACATATAGAAATAGTATCAAAAGGTTGGATGTTTTAATGTTTATTATATTATATTATATTATATCATAATACCCTTCTCCGAACAGCACTAACTCCATCTGGAATAGAGCAGCACTTATGAGATATGAGTTGTGCTTACAATATAGCTTAGTCATGGAAGAATAACATATCAATTTCCAGTCAATCCTTGAACAACAGGAAGCCGAAAACCATTTGAAGGAGAAATGAAAGCTCCTCCGTTCACTTCACTAAGTCTGTCAATCACTGAGCCTCTTTCACTTTGGAGTTTTGCCAATTTGTTCACACAGTATGGAAAGGTATTGAGTGAGCTTGACCATGAGTATGATGAGGGTTCCTCCAGATAACATGCAGGAGGGCCAGAAGAGAGAGTGGAAGACTGTGCTGCTGCCATACAGACGGTTCAGAAGGATGCTGCCCTGATGCTCGCTGGAGTCGTGGTAACATGTCACCTGCTGGTGCATCCTCAGATGCTCTGAAATATTCTGGATCATAACATGCAGGGCGGTGTGGTCCTTCTGGCATTTTGGCACATAAAAACACTGGGAAAACAAATGCATGAGTTATTTATTTAATATTATGTATTAACTTTGTATTTAAAGTCCCCATGAACTCAAAATTAAAGTTTTTTGGGTGTTAGTTCCAGATTCATACACATTATTATTTATTGTTAAGTCGTATTTAAATGTTTCTGTTCTCATGTCAGATATGTATGCATGTATGCATGTATGTACCAAGAGCTTCTTAAAAACCACAACAAATTCCTTGTGTGTTTGCGCACACTTGGCGAATAAAGCTATGTTTTTTTTTTGTTTTTTTAAAGAAAGTAATACATTTATTCAGCAAGGACACATTAAGTTGATCAAAAGTGACAATCAAGACATTTATAGTGATACAAAAGATTTCGATTTCAAAATAAAATTTGTTCTTTTTAACATCTCTATTCATCAGAGAAAACTGGAAAAGGGTATCACAGTTTCCACAAAAATATTAAGCAAAACAACAGCAAATATTAGATATACAGCAGTATATTAGAATAATTTCTGAAGGATCATGTGACACTGAAGTAATGGATGCTGAATATTCAGATTTGACATCACATTAATTAAATTTAACAATATAATAAAATAGAAAATACTTGTTTTAAACTGTAATAATATATTAAATTTTATTTTTTATTAAATAAATGCACTCTTATGCAATTATATATATATATATATATAAATGCAATTATCAGACAGTTCATGTCTCAGAATGTGTATTTTTTGTTTGTAATTTCACAGTTGTAATAAAATAATGTGAACGCGCCGCTTTTCTATCGCGAATGTGCCGAATCTGCTACAAGCTGTCATTCAAACAGTATATATAAAAATTTAGGGAAAACAGCTTAAGCTGGATATAGGCTACAGCAGTCGGCTTAATTAAATAGCTCAACAGGCCGCTCTCTTTTAACACAGACTTTTAAGGAGCCGCCACTGCTCAGTTCTAGTTCTCTGTCTGCTGTTTTGCCTGTCATTTTGGTTTGCCTGATGTCTCCCCTCCTGTGATCCCCAGCATGCCTTCATTAAAACCTTTTTTGATTTACTTTATTCCTCGTCTCCTCGCTCGTTCCTGCGCTCCCAGTGTGTGAGTGTGACAGAACAGCAGACCGGAAACAGTAAGCGGCGCTCCTTCTCCTGTGCTTTGTTTTCTTTGTTCTCCGTGTTTGTTCCCCGCAGTATGAGAACCGTCCTGCTGTCAAGCCTGCCAGTGTAGTGCCGAAATTTGCACCCTGCCAAATTATGAACCCCCTAGTATTGGTAGGTTTAGGAGTAGGTGTGGGGGAGCGGGGTGGGGTTGGGATTAGGCAATCAGGTAGTGACTTCAACGAGGGGGTGCATAATCTGGCAGGAGTGCAGAATTCGGGACAACACTGGCCGCACCGTTGTCAAGCTCGCTGGCCGCGTCTCACTTAAGCCCGCCGGCCGCTCCGAAGATAAGCTCGCCGGCCGCGGCTCACACTAGCCCGCCGGCAGCTCAGAATTCAAGTTCGTGAATTCAGTGATAAGAGACCTCTTTTAGAACCATTAAAAAAATCTTGCTAGGCCCAAGCTTTTGAAAAGTATACTGTGGGAGGTTCATTTTAAATTGAAGGTCCATTTAAATTTTAGTTCATACACAAGCTCATGCTTTTTCTGACAATTAATAATATCCTGTTTTGTTTTTTTGTTTCAAACTTCCACTTGATCATGAACATTTTATTTCTGCTTAAAACTCAGGAGTTTTCAAGAATATGTTTTTTTTTATTATTATAACATCTATGGCTACAAGAAGATTTCCAAAAAAAAAAGAACCTAGAGACACAACTGGCAGCCTTATTCATAAGTTTAAGATTAGACCTGTGAAGTTCTGGAATGTTTTTGAGGCAACATTTATTGAAATAAATAGAATAAATGATTCAGTTACACTTTATTTTACAGTATGTGTACTAACAGTGTACTTACCCAAGAAAGTACTGGGCAGTATATGGTAACTACATGGGTTAAGGTTAGGATTAGGGGTAGGTTCAGGGTTAGTACCTAGTTATTACACAGTTATTGCAATTGCTATAATAAGTACATAATATGTACACGCGGAACAGGACTGTAAATAAAGTGCTACCAAAGATTCTCTACAAAATGTGACTCTTAGGGGTTGAATAATTTTGTACACATACAATAACAAAACTAACTTTCTATAAAAGTTAACTGATGCCTTGGTTGAATTGTTTTCATAAAATTTTGATTACAGTAGCAGAGTGTCTTACAGGTCAAGGGGGTTGAATCATTTTGATTGGAGCCGTATATAGCTGTATGCTGATTTAGTTATTGTTTTAGTTCACAGCTAAATATTATTCAAGCAGTTATGATATAACACTACCTTTCTGCATAAGCACGCACCATGGTGATACAGATCACAAAGTACATCATGACTGAGCTGAACACCATTCCCAAACCCAACAGAATGGCTCTGTCCTCCCCGGCCTTCAGCGCCGTTTCTGTCCTTTTTTTGTCCTTAAGCTCATTTCCCCACAATGTCTTATAAATTACCCTGGGAAAAGAAGAAATAGTAAAATTGTTTATAATTGTATGTATAGTTACAGTCCTGGGTGTTGATTGGCCACACATGACATGAACAATAATCACCCAAATTACATTACATGTTTATAGAGACAGGTAGAGCAAGTGCTAAACAATTGTACACCTTTGTTGCGTGACTCGTGCTGTTTTGACCCCCTTCACAAAGAACATCTTGTCTGACACCTGAGTCTGAGTTCTTGAAAGACCTAAAAACAGAGGAATCATTGCATAACCACACACATTTTACATTCTGTCACACCGAACACTGCACTTATGATAAAAAGCCGTTGTGCATCACAGATCGAAAAATATACATCTTGAAAACGATTTGAGCTTCTACATTTTCCATTATACCATAGTTCAGTTAGCCTATAAAACTCTCTGACTCTCTCATAGTTTAACACATTGTTTGTAGAAGCCAGTAGTATTGATTTTACAATAGACTGGTTTTACTATGTGAAGAATATATTAACTATTCACTGACAGTGCACTTCAGCGATGCATAAATCAGCAAGGAAAGATGGTCCATAACTACATAAGTACAGTTTCTGAATAAATCTGAGCAGAGATAGCCTTAAGAAAGCTTGAGGAGCAATGCCTTTGCAATATCAAGTGGTTTGTTTGAGTAAGTCTACTTCCATTAAAATCTAAATTTAGTTTACTAAATTTACTAAGTTATATACACAACAGTTCTATCTGGTCCTCGAATCTGATTAGGTAATAAGAGAGTCAACAGAGCTCCATCCGTTTCACAGTTTGTATCACTCCGCTTGTGTTATTTCTCACAGCGAGTAATATGGCGCACGACCAAATTAACTATAATTTCAAATAATAATACAGTTTTTTGTCACGGAATGTAGTTTTAAGAGTTTTTTAAGCGAGAATGTACTTGTTGTACTTGTTACCTCGGCTAAAGTGAGTGAAGTGAAGTGTGGCCAAGTATGGTGTCCCATACTTGGAATTAGTGCTCTGCATTTAACCCATCCAAGTGCACACACACAGTAGTGAACACACACACACCGTGAACACACACCCGGAGCAGTGGGCAGCCAATGCTGCGGCACCCGGGGAGCAGTTGGGGGTTCGGTGCCTTGCTCAAGGGTCTCACCTCAGTCATGGTATTGAAGGTGTAGAGTGAGCGCTGGATATTCACTCCCCCCACCGACAATCCCTGCTGGACCTGAGACTCGAACCCGCGACCTTTGGGTTACAAGTCCGACTTATCCATTAGGATATTAATAGAGTGTGTATGTGTGTGCTAGTGTGTGTGTGCTGCTAGTGTGTGTGTGTTTGCGATTTTAGTTACATTATTCCACTATTAGATGGCGACGAGACTGTTTTTACGAGTCAGCAGGGATATTACGACAAAAATATCGCTTTCCTCAGCGGACATTCAAACTAATGTTTTGAATATGAGATTGAACTGAAGAATGAATGCTGTATCAGATGCAGGTAATCACACTCGCTCAGTCAATCTCTCTCACATAATACTCTCCTCCCTCTACATAATACACTGTTTTTAATACAGTGATACAATAAGCTTTTAATGAAGCAACTCAACGTTCCTTCGTTACTAGTTCTAACGTGACGTTATCGAATTAGTAACGGAGGATTGGGCTCAGCTGTTAAACTGTCACTGAATCCGTGGCGGAAGGAAGTAGTTCTGCACAAAAGATCGGAGTGTTTTTAAAGACACTCCGTTGTTGTTTCTTATGTATTTACACACTCGTGCCGTCGAACTGTTGTATAAACGCAATATCACACTCGTAGCCGTGAGATATGGCTGTATATCGGCACACTGTGATACCTCGTGCCTACGGCCGAATCACAGCCGTGCCGATATACAGCCATATCTCACGGCTACGAGTGTGAAATTGCTCATAAATATTCAACATCCTGTGAGATGTGGCCAGTTCCACTCAACTTAAAGAAACCCAATTCTTAAAATATGAATTTTGCCCAACCATGGTCATTTTCTAAAGAACTCAACTCAAACTATTAGCACAACATACAGCGCTCAAACATGATTAACATTTTGGTGGTCCATGCATATTCAGATCAAGTCTATGCATATTCAACACAGCTTGAGCACACTTATTTGCAGCTGTGAAGAGCAAGTCATTAGGGGGTCAGCAATGGAGTTGAAGGTTGATAGAGGCCCACTTTCAAGATTGCTTTGTCATTACTTAGAGCATCAGGGCATAAAGAGAATTACATTACTATTACAAGTACATGCTCACGGATCCATGCTGTATCAGCAATGTCAACTGTTTCTTAAGCGGAACATGCCTTTGCTAAATGCAGAACCATGCCAAACATAAAGCATCCTAGAGTAAATACATTATTGATTCACTGACCCTGGTTTGGAAAACAGCCTAAATCTTTATCCCTGAAACAAGGAGTAGGAGTCTACTTGGACAAAAAAATGCTAAAGCTCTGTCCTTCTGTTCAAAGTCATATGATTTTTAAGTAACGAGATGATTGAAAACACTCAGCAATGAGGGATGTACTAATATTTTTACAAGCTGAGAATGAATAGTGCTTTTCTATCACACCTAATCGATAAAGGTTTTTGGTTGATTGAAACCATCTAAAACGTTGTATCCATTTGATAAATGGATTTAAAAATCAATGCACTCAAAGTCCTGTATTCCTTGGAATTCACAAATAAAATCTGCTTTTCATTCACATCAACGGACAGCAGCTTATTGGCTTTCTGTTGTATTTTTCTATGTCTCACTGGACATGACATTGTAGAGCAGTTGGTTTTAACTCCAGGACAACTTGAATCAATGAAAGTACATGAGTGAAAATGTATTCGTGAAACATTTTCCCTTCATGAAATGTGCTCTGCTATCCTCTGAGTACTTAACAGAAGGCAGAGTAGCATTTAAACCCAACATGCATGCTCTGTCTTACTAATCAATATATTTAATCCAAAGCTTTCTGTTTATACCCCTTGCAAGGCCAAGGACTCTACATACCTGTATTGATAGATTTGAGCCAAAGTAGAGCAATGAAATTTCAAGAAAGCATGTTGAGTCAATAACCGTCAGCCTTCTCTTGCTCCTCTTGAGACCTGTAAGGGTTTTTAAAATACCCAATAATGCTGCTGGCAGATTTGTGGCTTTTTGGGCCATGTGCCAGTGTGTGAAACTGTGTAGGGCAGCAATTTCCTGCCAAATGATGTGCGGAATGAGTCCTTCCAAGCCAGCACAACACCCTGACCTTGCGCCTTTCTAGCATGGAGGTGAAGAACTGAACAGAAATAACCATGTGCCACTTTTTGTCAAACCTCTGTCACTGAGCTTGTACGCATGATTTATGGTGTTTACTAAAGCAAGCATCAATACTACGATTACTCATACTTGGGATTAGTGATTTGATCCTCTAAACCTAAGGGCAGAAACATAAAGCATTTTTATACTGTAAAACCGGACGATTATGAGCACGCTAAAGGAACGGTTCCAGTTGCATTTCTATTTGGACATGGTCAAAGTTCATTTCAAGGCAATTCAGTTCCTGAATGGGGAAATACAAAAATCGAAATGTGCTAAAAATGGTATCATGGAATGTTGGTAACCAAACAGCTGCTTTTTGTCACTGACGTTCATAGTATGAGAAAAAAAAGACTATGGAAGTCAATGGCGACATATCTTCTTTTGTGTTCAACAGAAGAAAGAAATTCATAGACGTTTGGAACAACATCTCACCACCAAAAAAATATTTTAGTCCACACCTCAACTATAATGACATAGAGGAACAATATTGTTAAGCCGCTTTTCCACCATTGGGCCGAATGGTTCTAAGAAATCCCATAAATTTTGCATCTGAAAGGGAAACTTATAAATGTATATACAATAAGGTCATATACCTTTGCAAGGTTAATAAAATTAACCTTGCTCTGCAAAGGCTGGAATACATTACACTACTTTTGCCCAGACTTTTTACCCCACTTTACAGACTAATTTCAGAAACACTTGCGTAGTGTATGATGGGCGCAAACTCAGATTTTTTAGCTTTAGACTATGATATCATCCAGTAGGAGAATCTCAAACACGTTTGAAATTTTGAGCCAATTTTAGAACTATATTTTGTTCGCCTCATTGCTAGGAGACGCATGATTCTGCATAAGGTTGTTGTGTTCGAAACAAATTAAAAGTATTTTAGTGAATGATGCCCAGTTTTTCCTCTGTAGCCATTTACAAAGTCTGCAAATGTTTGATGCCTAATGTTTTAAAATGTGTTAAGATTTGAAAAGTCGTGTAGTGCAACTGTTCTCTTTCTGTTAAAGAAATAAGATGGTGGACTTATGTCTATAACAAGCCAGACGCCCTGCTGGAAAAAAATGTTAGCTGCTCTTTCCTTGGATTATGGCTGAAAAGCTTAGTATCAACCCTGGCTCTTAAAAATCTTCTGTACTAAGAAAGAAAGCATCTGAATTTTAAGATATCTGAGCAGTGTTTTGTACATTGAAGAGGTTCTGGTTGTGTTAAGTTATGGAGTATATGTTTAAACTAACATGAGGAATGTATGGTATGAACCGTCATATGTTTATGCCTGTTTGCTTTTTTAATTTTACAACAATGTCAGGGGGTTGTTGGCAGGGGACAAAAATCAGTTTAAAATATGTATACATTGTGTAAATTGTATAAATTCAATAAAGACCATTTTTAATAAAAGTTGTGTTGTGGAATACTTTAACTCATCTTGCACCATTTGTGCAACAGACATGAATGACATTATTTTTTTTCTATTATTTGATCAGGCATACGGTGGATCATAAAAGTGGACTTGCAGATAGTAAAAACAATGCAACAATACATACCAACTTTCCAGAACACATTTGCAACCATATAACAACGCACAACTGAACGAGCAAAGACCATGTGGCTACTCTTATGAACACTTTTTCATGCATCAAACATGCATTATGTCAAGGATAAAGATGAAACTAAGAAATATTCGATGGCAATGACAACAAGCACTTCAGTGAAGGATCACACATGTCAAACATGGCTTTATTTTAACCTCCACGAGACAGCAGGGTTTCTTTGCTGACTAAAATTCTCTACATATCTGAAAGATGACAGATATTTCATTTTGTCCCAAGGGCAAAGAAGGCACACTCTTTTATCTCAGTGCAGTTTGTCCATGTGAATGCACATAGAGATGATAATTGGACTTTTTGATGGTCTCTTTTAAATTCTGAAATCCATTTAACACTTTTCACACTTTGTCGCAAATGGAATGGAGCCAAATCTCTTCATTTTCCTTTTTTTCAGCAAAGAGCCCATTTCTCAAAGTGATGCTATCTTCGACTTCAACTTCATCTCTGTATACTCTGCTGAGGCTGACTAGTTCTTTTCGGGGGAAATGTACTACATCCACATTATTTTGTAGATTACATCAAACTTAGAAATCCCAAATCTTTTATTTGACAGCCAGACCAGTCACGCACCCGTGTGTTTTACAGTGTGTTGAGCAGATCCTTAACGGTGGACATTTACACCTGTTGCTGGCAATTGTTTTCCAGCTTCCTCTCTTCATGTGCCCATTCAACCCTCTGAGAAATGTGCCTGCCCTTTCCCAAGAATGTTCCAGGTAGTATTTTCTGCCTTGTGTTGGATTATTATAGCATCGTGGACCAGTGTTCAGAAGGGTTGAAAGGTCTTTAAAAAGTCCTGCCTCATCATCACAACATACTGCACATTTCAAAACATGGACATGTCAATTGGTTTTGTAAATATACTGTGGCCCCACAACATGTTTGGTTGTTTGGTGGCTTGAGCCAGAGATCGTCTTACTATAGGGAGACAAGAGGGTCTGTATTACTTACTATTGGAGAAAGTGTAACAGTCAACTTGGATCAGGTATATAACCAATAACATTACTGTCTTGACGTCAATGAATTTCAGTCAGAGTTGTGTGACACTCAGTCGCCGTTTATGGATACCATAGGAATGAATGAGAAATGCCGTAAGCTGTATCCCACCTGTCGCAAAAAGTCAGTGACTTCTCTTATAAAACGGCATTTTTTTTCGGTGTAAACTCTAAAAATAGTTCAATCCAAAAGTATTGATTAGTGTAAAACATGTTGGAGATTAGCTGACAGGCTGTTGGTTTATTAAATGATAAGCTGTTTCCTCTAAAAAGCTGTTTATTCAGTGTAGGGAAGCCCCTCGGCCATTTACATCCATTAAAAAAAAACGGCCTCTGGTCTCCTTTCCCACGTACTGGCAAACCAGAAGCGTTAGCATCAGCTGTTACGCTTTTTTGGCTAAAGGTTGCAGGCTTGCCTTCAAGTGGCTTTGCTTGAGCACCTGCCCCTTTTCCCTTTGATGTCCCCTTTTGTCAAGGCATTTGTGTGTGTGTGTGTGTGTGTGTGAAGGCCTGCCCAATCTAACTATTAGTAAAATTAATAAATAATAATTTAGCCGTAAATAAAATGATCCACATGATGACCTTTCATCTGACGATCTCATCCAGGACGATCCCTCACGTTCAGATCCCTTTAGTAATTTAGCACATTACCAGGATGCCTTCAATAACGTCCGTGGCTGCCGGATAGTGGAGATCTCAGCAGAGCGGTGTGCTAGTATACTTATATTATTCAATTATTATTATTTTACAAGAACGACATGAAGAGAGCGTGCACAGCTGTTGTTTATATTGCTGTGTGTAGCCTGTGGAAGTAACGTTAGCTGCAGCAATGGGCAATCATATTTTTATTCAATATTTTCCTAATGACAATTTTGGTTTATAAAGGCTCCTACGAACAACTTTTTCCTATTTTATCACAGAATAAGGCACGAAATATATTTTATTGTTTCTATTAAATGATATGTCAGTCAGTACTGCATTTTATATATGCTCATGTTGCATATCATATCTTCTTTATACGCATTTTTGCAGAGTTGCGCATTAAGCCAATCACAGACGATTGTTGAGCTTATGAATGCCATTTCCAATCAGAAGCGTTCAGATGAGTCATCGTGAAACGCTGCGGATTGTTCAGTGCACGTGCTCTGCTGGCTGAATTCTGCACTCACCGCCCCTGAATTACATTAACATTAGGCTCCTTTTAGCCTTACCCTGGAGTTGGTTCACCCTCCGCCTATAGGAGAAAAAGGCTAAAATGTCTTATACTCAAGCATAGCACCTCAAGAGAATTAAATAAGTTATTCAGTGAATAGTTAAAGCATGCAAGTTTCTTTTTACCTTAGAATATCATTTTCAATATCATTCTGATAGTAGGCTACACTGACTTCTAAGGCTACGTCCACACGAAGCCAGAGTATACGATACAAAATTTATGCGTATACAGCTAAACGCATCTCCGTGTGGACGGGGCCTAAGAACGCGAATGACTTCAGATACTTTCCCGCACTCCCCACCAAAGGTATGTGGTTTGGTGAGCGCAGGGTACGAAATTCGAGAAAAGGGCGGATTACTTTACGGCATCAACAAATGCACATGTACAGCTATACACTCGGTGCGTTCCAAACAGGATATATCGCCCTCCGAAGGGCACTTTGGAGTAGGGATGGGCGGATCGATCCTTAAGTATCGATACTTTCGATACTGATGTTGTATCGAAAGGATCGATTCTCACATAAAAATATCGATTCTAAAGTGCATTTTTTTAACCATTAATTTTATTTACTTATCAAGAAATTTGATGCATAAAATAAGCTTCTAAATGGAAAAATAGACTATATTAGCGAATAATTGTGTTTCCATTTCTCCTGCTCATCGGAACACACGCAAATGCTGAAAGACAGAACCAATCAATCACAGGCAGTGTTCGCTGCGTTCTGTAATTGCTGTTAATAATCTGTCAGAAAAAAAATATGCTAAAGTTTCACCTTTAGGGGTACAGCCTTTTACAAAAATTAACCATGGTTTTATTAGAGTAACCACAGTTTACCACATATTTGTAGTAAAGCTGCAGTAACCACAAATTTACCATGGTAATAATAATAATAATTCATTTTAGTGCTTATGTAACACTATGTTTATTTTTCATGAGGTACCCTCAAAGGTGCACCT